CCTTCTTTTTTTTTTTTTTTTGTAAGCTAGATAACGGTAGTCAATATTGAGAAGGTAGTAGCTTTTATAAGACAACATTGGCATTACAAAAGCCACGTGGCTACCTACGTAACCATTAAGAAATGCTAGAAAGCTTACAGCTCAGTGCTATTGCGGAATTGTGAATGAAAAGTTGAAATGTATCCTACCGCTGTAAATGAAACTGTTTCACAAATATAAAACAACTAGTAAAAATTTGCCCGTGTTGCACCGGGCCAAATCGTTGGATTGCATATTGTAAATTTTTAGCATGAAGGTCAACAATGTGTTAATTTATTACATGAAATTCTTCTAGCTAGTGTTTGTTTTCTTCTGTCTTTATTTTAATTTGATAATCTAATTTAGATACTGCAAATAACTCTTGTAATTTCAATTTGTTATTCGTTTGATATTTAAATTTTGCAAGGTTTGAAAATATGAGTTAGATTCTTATACATGCTCATATCTAGGGTACTTTTGACAACTTGTTTTTCCTTGAATGCTTTATCTTTCTCATTTGTTACCAGCAATGAAGATGGTATTAGATTTGGTAATTGGAAGATCTTCTTTTAGAGTCTTTTGTCACAAATTTTTCCAACTATGTTATAACTGCAGTCTATCTATACTCTTTAATACTTACAATTATTAATATAATAGTGTTTACCCGAAAAATCGGATAGAGTTGAATTTGTACGCAATTCTAAGGGTATGTGGTATAACTTGATACTAATCATAAAAAGAAACAGAAATATCCAATCTTGACTATAAAGAATAAAAGATAAACACATTTGAGAGCAGGAAAATGAATGAACAAAATAAGATGAAGTAATGGAACTCAAAAGGTTAATCTTTCAATATGAGAAAATAGTATTCTTGTTACCACGTGAATGTGTCTTTACAGAAACAACAATCATCCATTTTATAGTGGAGGGATCCTACTTTAGATATAATAAAAAATACATAGTGGGGAGCCCATGGTGAATTAGCTTTTCTCTAATTCCTGCCAGGATTCTCTCCCCTAGTGCGGTTGCAACGACTCTTGTCTGTGAGCTCGATAATGACTAGAGCTCGGTATTGACTTGAGCTCTCGATCTTGACTCGAGGTTGATTTTGACTCGGAGTCCGGTATTGATTTGGGGTCGGTGCCGGTCGGCCTATGAATCTTAAGCTCGATAATTTTGCTTCGCCTCAAAGCTCGATTTGGATTCGAGTTCGATAATGATATCGAGATTGACATTGATCGGTCCTAGAACTCGAAGCTTGATGACGTGACTTCGGACCTCAACCTGATATTACGAAGACGCTCTTCGATCAAAGTATTATCATCTCAACCAGTTCATACGACGGACTAATCGGTTTTGGCCGTATACAGATAGTCCCCTCATTTCTCGGGAAGGATATAACGAGAAATGACATGATTTTCCAACGGTATGATTAGATATATACTTATGTTTGCATCGAGTTCGATCGTGACGTACGTGATATTTATCCCGTCGATTCAGTTTACCGAGGCATTTAATGCGTATCAGACGATGGTCGTCTATTACCGATATTGAACCGCCATTATTCAGACTCTAAATAGCCCGCTCCTTCATTGAATCAAACTTTACTTTTTACTCTAATCAGACCTCTAAATCTTCTCACTCTTTTCTTCTCCTTTTCGCCGCCTGTAGAGCCATCTTCATCAGCGTTGAAACCGCCATCTTTTTATCTTCCTTTTCTCTTCTTTACTTATACAAATAGCAAAAACCTCAACGACAGTACCGCAGAAGGAGAAAGCTTCTTGCTCCTCTTCCCGGTCGTCCGGCGGCAAGGCGCCGGCGAAGCCGCTTCCCCCCGAGTATGTTCCCGGCCCGTGTACTCTAAAGTCCGATTTCAAAGTCAAAAAACCCTTCATCGATCCCGGTCCAACATGAGCATGTGTCGATGCACATGTGCTTGATAACAAAGGGTCACCTCGAGGCCATAAGAAGGGACTGCAACTAGGGTCCCGAGGTCGTGTTGCAAATTCCTTCTCCCGAAGAGAGCATCACCGCTCATGTGGAGGGGTTCTTAAGTGTTTATACTTACCCCTTCACATTGGGTCCTCTCGACCCAATGATTATTGCTTTTTGTAAAAGATATCAGGTCACTCTTGGCCAAATTCACCCCACTCTATGGTGCATAGTAATCATACTGCGCTTCTTCTCTAGCAAGGCCGGGGAGCTAGAGTTTACTCTAAATCACCTTATTCGGTTGTATCGGCCTCGAATCTAACGAGGACTAATCAGGCTCCAATGCCGGGCAACGAAGGCCTTGATCTCGAGCATCGACGAAGACAAGGATCGGGGTTGGATGAGCCGTTTTGTACGAGTGAGGACCCGTGACATTATTCCGGAAGAGAAGATGTTGTTCCCTGAGGAGTGAAACTTTCACCGTAAGTGACCTTTTAGACTTTATTCTTCGTACCTTCTTCGACTTCGCCGGATACCCCTTTCGATATGCAATTGTTCCTTGGATGCCTCAAGCGGTGCCAGACCTTGAGGATTGGGTTCGGA